TGCCTGAGATGGAGACAGAGAGGTCCAGGAAGGGGAAAGAGGTATTAGAGATGGTCCAGGTGAACTTAAGGTTGGGGTGGAAGGTGTTGGTGAAGTGGATGAACTGTTCGAGCTCCTCGTGGGAGCACGAGGCGGCGCCGATACAGTCATCAATGTAACGGAGGAAGAGGTGGGGTTTAGGGCCAGTGTAGGTACGGAAGAGGGATTGTTCCACGTAACCTACAAAGAGGCAGGCATAGCTTGGGCCCATGCGGGTACCCATGGCCACCCCCTTTGTCTGTAGGAAGTGGGAGGAATTGAAAGAGAAGTTGTTGAGGGTGAGGACGAGTTCGGCCAAGCGGATGAGGGTGTCAGTGGAAGGGGACTGGTCGGGCCTGCGGGACAGGAAGAAGCAGAGGGCCTTTAGGCCATCTGTATGGGGAATGCAGGTGTATAGGGACTGGACATCCATGGTAAAGATGAGGTGTTGGGGACTGGGGAATTGGAAGTTCTGGAGGAGGTGGAGGGCGTGGGTGGTATCACGGACGTAGGTAGGGAGTTCCTGGACCAAGGGGGAGAAAATGGAGTCCAGGTAGTTGGAGATCAGTTCGGTGGGGCAGGAGCAGGCGGAGACAATGGGTCGACCGGGGCATTCAGGTTTGTGGATTTTGGGAAGGAGATAGAAGCGGGCGGTGCGGGGTTGGGGAACGATGAGGTTGGAGGCCGTGGGTGGGAGGTCACCTGAGGTGATGAGGTTGTGGATGGTTTGGGAGATGATGGTTTGGTGCTCGGGGGTGGGGTCAAGATCAAGGGGGCGGTAGGAGGAGGTGTCGGAGAGTTGGCGTCTGGCCTCGGCGATGTAGAGGTCAGTGTGCCATACTACAACTGCGCCTCCCTTGTCCGCGGGTTTTATGGTGAGGTTGGGGTTGGAGCGGAGGGCTGCACGTTCTGCGGGGGAGAGATTGGAGTGGGTGAGAGGGTTGGAGAGGTTGAGGCGATTGACGTCTCAACGGCAGTTGGAGATGAAGAGGTCAAGGGAGGGTAGGAGGCCTTGGGGTGGTGTCCAGGAGGATGGGGTGTGTTGGAAGTGGGAGAAGGGGTCAGTAGAGGGAGGGTTAGGTACACGGTTGAAGAAGTAAGCGTGGAGGCGGAGGCAGCGGAAAAACTGCTCTATGTCCAAACGTGAGCGGTAAACAGTAGTTTGTAGGGCAAAGTGGCCTGCTCCTAATTTGCCTGTTCACATGTTCAAATTCATTCAGCCTCTGTCATGCTAGATGTTTGATGTCTGCCGTGAGCATTGCATGTGGCAGTTGCCGGGGAGCTAGAGTTCTACGCCCTCATCCTAACAGAATTCCAGACACAGGAGCCCGCAGTCCACATCATGCTATGCTTCCCTGTCCCTCAGCAATTTTGTTGCTGGAAGAGGAGAAGAGGTGATGAGGTGAAGGGCAGGATGTCAGATGTAAGGTTCAAGGTGGTTAAAGAGTCATTCAATGTGAAAGTTGCTCTAAGCAAGGATTAATACCTGTCTGAGTTTGGCAGGAGATTACAGTCTGTGTGAGCATTAAGGACTGGATTCTGCTGCTGTTTCAGTCCCACAGGAACAAATGTCTCTCTAATCAATACAAAAAATGACTCAACACACAGAAAACAAAACCCTGGGACTATGGATCAGAGGAGCAGGAAGGCTGACGTTTCGGGCCTAGACCCTTCAGCCTTCCTGCTCCTCTGATGCTGCTTGGCCTGCTGTGTTCATCTAGCTCCACACCTTGTTATCTCAGATTCTCCAGCATCTGCAGTTCCTACTATCCCTGGGACTATGGAGTCTGTTTCTGGCATGGATGAATGAGTTAGTTAGCTAGTTGAAACAAAGTGCACCTGTGACAGTTGGTGTGGAATCAGTCCTGGCAATAAATGTCCTAGAATAAGTTAAAGAGAGAAAAGCTGGAAAATAATTCAGGAGAGAACCAGCAAGATGCACCAGAAACCAAAGTGAAAGAGCGAGGAATGTATTCAGTCCAACCAGGACCTGATGGCATGATACATGTCTCAATTATCCTTAATAAAGCCCTGCTCAAGTCTGTTTCTTCTGCTTTAGTTGTGTCAGCATCACAGACCAATATTCTGCCAACGTATGTATGGATAGCACCAGCCAAACTGCACTTTCCTTTATATGGTATATTAGGTACAAATTGGATTCTATGACTTTCCTGGCTGATCCATTGGTCTAGTGGACGAAGGGAACTCATTCAGACATTGTGCAACACTCAGGTTTAACAGGGATGGCTGATTCGTAGAAGATGACAGAATTACGTACTCCAGGAATAAGAAATTCAACAAACTGTATGTAACAGTCTGAGAATCATTCCTGGGCAGTCCAAAGAGGAATTGTGTCAGAAGGTAACTGAGCGGATTAAATGGACTAAGAGTGGACTGAGACGTGGATGATCCTGTGCAGCAATATATCATGGTGATCTAGACCTGCCACCACTGAATGAATTATTTGTTTATTTAACTTATGACCCCAGCATTGTCTGGTTGAGTTCCCTTTTAATGACACCATGTAAATAACAAATGGCGTTGCCTTAGGATTCCCTCTCGTCCAACTCTTAGTTGGGTTCCACTAAAATTTTGTCCTCACAGAAATGACACCTGACATCCTATCTCTTACATGTAAATGATGCATTTGCAATACTTGAATTGGCAGCTGCATGTAAGAATTTTCTTAGATGTCTTAATAGGCTCCATCCTTAGCCTAGTGTCCCCTTGAAATTCAGCAATGAAATGAGCTTGCTTGAGATCCTTGTTGAGAAATCAGCCAGAGGGTTCTTGATTGCTGTCTACTGAGATTCCTTTCATTCCATGAAGTATAAGACTTGCCTTATTGGCAGCCTTTTGAATACAGCCCGAGAAATTTTTGAGTGTGTAAGCTTGATGTTGCATTAGGGTGCATCAAAACCATTCTGCAGGTCGTAGTTACTCTGAAAGATCATTTCTCCCCGTTTATCATGCAAATTCATGATCCACCCTAAGGCTATCACTTTTGTCTCTGAAAAGTGACCAGTATACCTCCTATTACCCTGAACTCAAACACTTGAGCAACTGCAGAAGCTAGCTGTTTTGTCTTGCTACTACAAAGTAGCAACATGAATGGTGTTTGCCACTAATAGAATGCTGCAATCAAACTTAATAGATTTTCTACACATCTCACAAATGAGTGATATTTTGTATGAATTTCAGTGTGGGTCTGATGCTAGTTATGTAGCCCTATGTCTGAAACATTGGCAGATTGTATCAAACAGCATATTCCCTGACAGTTCACAACAGACAAGGATCTGACTGTAGCTAACCTGCTTGCAAAACTGGAAACACAGTGCCTATCATTAGATCAGAGATAGTAGGAACTGCCGATGCTGGGGTCTGAGATAACACAGTGTGGAGCTGGAGGAACACAGCAGGCCAGGCAGCATCAGAGGAACAAGAAAGTTGACGTTTCGGGTCGAGACCCTCCTTCAGAAATCTACCCAGTTTAAAATGGAAACAAAGTTTAGCATTAAGCTGTTGATCATCATCTGAGGTACGATGATGGGATTAATGTAATATTTGTGTTAAAAATGATGAAGGGTGTTAATCAAGTGAACAGACAGAAACAGTTTAAGGCTCTTGTGGCACAATAGTAGTGTCCCTACTTCGCGATCAGAGACCTAGGGTCAAGTCCTACTTGCTCCCGAGGTATGTCATGACAGATTGATTTCAAATCATCTCAGCTTAGATATTTTAAGGTTCTTGTGGTGTAGTGGTAGTGTCCCTCCCTTGTGGCCAGAAGGCCTCAGTTCAAGTCATAACTGCTCCGGAGGTATGTAATACCTTGCCTCTCAGCCTTTCTTTTCTCCAGGGAGAACACTCCCAACTTCTTCAATCTATCCTCATAACTGAAGTTTGTCATTTCTGGAACTATTCTTGTAAATCACTTCAGCACTCTCTTCAATGCATTTTCACCTTTCCTGTAAGTGCCCACAACTGTACACATTACTCCAGCTGAGGTTTTACAAGTGTTTGCACAAGTTCAAAACCATCTGCCTGCTTTATACTGTCTGGTCCCATTAATAAAGGCAGGAGCATTGTATGCTTCATTAGCTGCTCTCTCCACCTGTCCGGCTACCTTCACTGATCTGTGCACATATACTCCTAGATCCCTCTGCTCCAGCATCTCTTTAGAATTTGACTTCCTATTTTATATCATCTTTCAATGTTCTTCCAAACAAAGTGCATCACCTCACATTTTCTGCATTGAACTTTATTGTCACTCATCTGTCTGTTCCACACGTGTCAATGTCCTTTCAGAGTTCCACAGTCTTCCTCACAGTTTGCAATTCTTCCAATTCAGTGCCATCTGCAATCCTTGAAATTATCTGTCTGTGTGGAGTTTGCATGTTCTCCCCATGTCTGTGTGAGTTTCCTCCCACAGTCCAAAGATGTGCAGGTTAGATGGGTTGGCCATACTAAATTGCCCAAGGTGTCTAGGGATGTGTAAATTAGGTGGATTAGCATGGGAAATCCAGGGTTACAGGGATAGGGTACTGGGGTGAGTCTGGCTGGGATGCTCTTCAGAGAGTTGGTGTGGACTTGTTGGGCCAAATGGTGTGTTACCACACTGTAGGGATCCTATCCTATGATTCCTATAAGACTTCTGCCAAGTTATTCTTGAACTTTCTAGTGACGAGAGTTTCCTCCACTGTCCATGGACCTGGCAGCATCCTTCTCTTTTGTGAAGACAGATGCAAAGTATTCATTTAACACCATAACTATACCCTCTGTCCACATATGGAAATCCCCTTTTTGGTCTCTGCTCATTCCTTCTTAAACCAGTCTTTTACTGTTTACGCGCCTGTAGAAGACTTTGTAGGACTTCTCTTTATGGTTTGTGGGCTCTAGGAGAATGGAGGGTTACAGAGAGCAAGCGAAAAGGCAGAGCTAAGGTCATGATCTTGTTGAATGGGGGAACAGGAATGAGGGGCTGAATGCTTTCCCAGGGCTCTGCGGGCGAGGAGGGCGGGGCGAACGCGGTGGCGGTGCCGCGCATGTGCGGGCGGTGAGCCTGTGGCCTCCTGATTGGCCGAGGTTTGGTATGTCCCACAATCCCGCGGTGAAGATGGCGGCGCCCAGGAGCTGGCGGCGTGTGTAGTCTGAGTGAAGGAAAGCTCTCTGACTGCCCGTGTCACCGTCACCTCCGGTGGGGTGGCAGCCCCGTCCCAACTCTCCTTTCACCATGAA